GGACTCATGCCACATAGCTCACCCCCATAGGGCTGGGACTCATGCCACATAACTCACCCCGTAGGACTGGGACTCATGCCACATAACTCACCCCCATAGGGTTGGGACTCATGCCACATAACTCACCCCATAGGGCTGGGACTCATGCCACATAACTCACCCCGTAGGGTTGGGACTCATGCCACATAACTCACCCCATAGGGCTGGGACTCATGCCACATAACTCACCCCGTAGGACTGGGACTCATGCCACATAACTCACCCCATAGGGCTGGGACTCATGCCACATAACTCACCCCGTAGGACTGGGACTCATGCCACATAACTCACCCCGTAGGGTTGGGACTCATGCCACATAACTCATCCCATAGGGCTGGGACTCATGCCACAAAACTCACTCTGTTGGGCTGTGATTCAGGCCACATAACCATCTACACCTAATCTGCCTTACATTGACCTACTAAGAACAAATGTAGAGACAGATAATTATGCACTTCCCTTTAGTTGCCGTTGTCGAAGCCGTTCGTCCTCACTGGTATATAATAGTTCAAATACCAGCGGTGCACTTCAAGTAACACGGACAAAATTTATATGAAGTGTTGGGAAGGCGATCTGCTACTCTCCTCTCCTTTTCCTCCAGTGCCTGGGACGCGTTCCATTACTACGTTTCTTATAAATAATTGAAAAGAGTTTATTCTAATTAATTTGATAACTGATAATTCAGTTTAATTTTAGTGAAGTGCATTTCATTGGTTTTAGTCATTAGGCTGTTAGATTGAGTATTGAACTTATGTTATTATATTGCGTGAAATTAATTTTTGCAATGTGGCAATATAATCTGGGGTTCTGGAGTGAATTGGTCATGTACATACCCTTTGATGAGTGTCTAAACGATTTTAATTGATAATTAATTAATACAAAAAAGCACTGATAAAATGTATGCATGTTGTATTAAAGAGTTCATAATGGATGTGGAAAATTTCTCACAGGTGTTGGTAATGTATCCCACATACACTCTGGTGTTGGTAATGTATCCCACATACACTCTGGTGTTGGTAATGTATCCCACATACACTCTGGTGTTGGTAATGTATCCCACATACACTCTGGTGTTGGTAATGTATCCCACATACACTCTGGTGTTGGTAATGTATCCCACATACACTCTGGTGTTGGTAATGTATCCCACATACACTCTGGTGTTGGTAATGTATCCCACATACACTCTAGTGTTGGTAATGTATCCCACATACACTCTAGTGTTGGTAATGTATCCCACATACACTCTGGTGTTGGTAACGTATCCCACATACACTCTGGTGTTGGTAATGTATCCCACATACACTCTGGTGTTGGTAATGTATCCCACATACACTCTGGTGTTGGTAATGTATCCCACATACACTCTAGTGTTGGTAATGTATCCCACATACACTCTGGTGTTGGTAATGTATCCCACATACACTCTGGTGTTGGTAATGTATCCCACATACACTCTAGTGTTGGTAATGTATCCCACATACACTCTAGTGTTGGTAATGTATCCCACATACACTCTGGTGTTGGTAACGTATCCCACATACACTCTGGTGTTGGTAATGTATCCCACATACACTCTGGTGTTGGTAATGTATCCCACATACACTCTAGTGTTGGTAATGTATCTCACATACACTCTGGTGTTGGTAATGTATCCCACATACACTCTGGTGTTGGTAACGTATCCCACATACACTCTGGTGTTGGTAATGTATCCCACATACACTCTGGTGTTGGTAATGTATCCCACATACACTCTGGTGTTGGTAATGTATCCCACATACACTCTGGTGTTGGTAATGTATCCCACATACACTCTGGTGTTGGTAATGTATCCCACATACACTCTGGTGTTGGTAATGTATCCCACATACACTCTGGTGTTGGTAATGTATCCCACATACACTCTGGTGTTGGTAATGTATCCCACATACACTCTGGTGTTGGTAATGTATCCCACATACACTCTGGTGTTGGTAATGTATCCCACATACACTCTGGTGTTGGTAATGTATCCCACATACACTCTGGTGTTGGTAACGCTTTCCACATACACTCTGGTGTTGGTAACGCTTTCCACATACACTCTGGTGTTGGTAACGTATCCCACATACACTCTGGTGTGATAACGTATTCCACACACACTCTGGTGTGGTAACGCTTCCCACATACACTCTAGTGTGGTAACGCTTCCCACATACACTCTGGTGTTGGTAACGTATCCCACATACACTCTGGTGTTGGTAACGTATCCCACATACACTCTGGTGTTGGTAACGTATCCCACATACACTCTGGTGTGGTAACGCATCCCACATACACTCTGGTGTGGTAACGTATCACACATACTCTCTGGTGTGATAACGTATTCCACACACACTCTGGTGTGGTAACGCTTACCACATGCACTCTGGTGATGGTAATGCATCCCACATACACTCTGGTGTGGTAACGTATCCCACACACACTCTGGTGTTGGTAAGTTATCCCACATACACTCTGGTGTTGGTAACGTATCCCACATACACTCTGGTGTGGTAACGAATCTCACATACACTCTGGTGTGGTAACGAATCCCACATACACTCTGGTGTGGTAACGCATTCCACATACACACTGGTGTGGTAACGTATCCCACACACACTCTGGTGTGGTAACGCTTCCCACATACACTCTGGTGTGGTAACGTATCCCACATGCACTCTGGTGATGGTAACGCATCCCACATACACTCTGGTGTGGTAACGCAACCCACATACACTCTGGTATTGGTAACGTATCCCACACACACTCTGGTGTAGTAACGCTTCCCACATGCACTCTGGTGATGGTAACGTATCCCGCATACACTCTTGTGTTGGTAACGTATCCCTCATACACTCTGGTGTTGGTAACGTATCTCTCATACACTCTGGTGTTGGTAACGTATCCCACATACACTCTGGTGTGGTAACGTATCCCACATACACTCTGGTGTGGTAACGTATCCCACATACACTCTGGTGTGGTAACGTATCCCACATACACTCTGGTGTGGTAACGCATTCCACATACACACTGGTGTGGTAACGTATCCCACACACACTCTGGTGTAGTAACGCTTCCCACATACACTCTGGTGTGGTAACGTATCCCACATACACTCTGGTGTGGTAACGCATCCTACATACACTCTGGTGTGGTAACGTATCCCACATACACTCTGGTGTTGGTAACGTATCCCTCATACACTTTGGTGTTGGTAACGTATCCCACATACACTCTGGTGTTGGTAACGTATCCCACATACACTCTGGAATTGGTAACGTATCCCTCATACACTCTGGTGTTGGTAACGTATCCCACATACACTCTGGTGTTGGTAACGTATCCCACACACACTCTGGTGTGGTAACGCTTCCTACATGCACTCTGGTGTTGGTAACGTATCCCGCATACACTCTTGTGTTGGTAACGTATCCCTCATACACTCTGGTGTTGGTAACGTATCCCTCATACACTCTGGTGTTGGTAACGTATCCCTCATACACTCTGGTGTTGGTAACGTATCTCACATACACTCTGGTGTTGGTAACATATCCAACATACACTCTGGTGTTGGTAACGTATCTCACATACACTCTGGTGTTGGTAACATATCCAACATACACTCTGGTGTTGGTAACATATCCAACATACACTCTGGTGTTGGTAACATATCCAACATACACTCTGGTGTTGGTAACATATCCAACATACACTCTGGTGTTGGTAACGTATCCAACATACACTCTGGTGTTGGTAACGTATCCAACATACACTCTGGTGTTGGTAACGTATCCCTCATACACTCTCGTGTTCATTATAAATTTAGTTATTGATTAATCGGTCCAGACCCCGATTAACTGACGCTTCTGGTTAATGGTCTGGTGGTGGCAGCAGAAGGAGATCCTTGAGTTTGCCAGGAGTCTAGTACCACGTCACGGAGGCTGTAGAAGCTTGGCCGATTCGAACGGCTAAGACCACGTGGCGCGGGATTCGGCTAGAGTAGCTCGGGGTTCCCTTGGTATATAGGTGAAGGAAATAGAATACGGGTGGGTAAGGGTGAAGAGAGAGTCGAAGGAAGAGGCGATCAGAGTCGATAACCCCCCCCCCCCCCCCCCGCCGTGTTACAATGTATCACACATACACTGGTGCTGGTAACGGAGCTCCCCACCAAACGCTCCCTTCAAATACAAAACGAAATCGCAGAATCGCACGTCCTAAGCGCTAGGGCACCTCCACCAGCGTTACCTGTGTCACCATCCTGGCCAGGCATATATCAATGAGGAAATCGCTGAGTCAGGACAGGGAGCGAACAACAGACCTGGTTGACTTAGTTTATAATAAAGTGTTTTGCTTCAGTATTTATCGTGCAACATTTTAATTTCATTCATTTACTCACATAATTATTAATCAATGAACAACATATCCTTCTGTTCTATTAAAAAAAATCTAAGTCAAATGTACGTTTTAAGCAAAAAAGACAAAAACAAAATGACTGGTAATGTTAAATTGTATATGAAGAGTATTCGGACGGAAACTTTACCAATGAGTTCACAAATTCAAAATACTTAATGTCAACAATAATGAAATCAATTATATGCGACATGAAAAATGAAATAGTGCCTCCAGACAACTGGTCACAATAATATGCCTGAAAATTTAATTCCCAACCTACATATCTAAAGAATTGACGACGTTTCGGTCTCTATTGGACCATAATAAAAAAAAAGAGAGAAGAAATGCAATCGACCCATTCACCCTATCACACTCCCTATACATTTAGAATTCACCATGTAAAGTTCCGTTAGTCTATCTACATGCTTTTGGCCTCCAACCTTTGAGAGATATACAAATAAATGAACGTTTCGTTTAATTGATATAGATAGAACATAAATTTGAAATGGCACTCTTAATATCTGTTATTGTATTTCCTACAGGAAACTGTTACTACTACTTGTCGAGGGAGAGACTACTGCCCTCTTTATTGGTATCCATAGGACAGAAGAACAGTCCTCTTGTTCCTGCATTAAGTAAAAGGTACAGATATTTTTTTTTTTTTGTATTGCTATTAGAATTTATAAAGCAAATAAATATAATATGTGAGTAAATCACGAAAATTAACACGTGATGAAAAATGTGACAGTATCAGACCACGGAGGAAGAACTGAAGCAGGAATTTCCTTAAGTACTTTCGTATATTATTGTTTGCTAAGATTTCTCTGGTGATGGTTTGGTGACCAAACGATCACCAGAGAAATCTTAGCAAACAACACAGAAATCATCGATAGATACAGCGAAAGCAGGAGGCTTGACATCTGCGAGGCACTACACATCAAGAAGTCAACACCAGCCATCAACAGCCAATTAATGCACAACTATATTCTACCCACTTCAAGACTCCGCTCCAATATAGAAGCATCAAGAAATATGGGCCAATAGGCCCTCTGTAATTACTTGCATTCTTACCTTCAATACCCATTGTTTCGTGTTCTGGCTTGTGTTGAAAGTTTGTTTTCACCTCATCCAAACCTGTTGAAACATATCACCTCACCCAAATGCAGGTATAAAAAATCGAAGATGTTTAAGCTCTATTCAGTTATAAGTTGTGTGTGTGTAAACTAAAGTCTTTGAAAATGTAATAAGTTTTACGAAACGCGCTCAAGTGTCGCATTAGACTAGAAATAAAAATGAATTTTGGAGAATTGATTTTCATTTACCATCAACAGTGAAAAGAAACATAAGAAAGATCGAGAAAATTCGTATTAGAATTATTATTCTTACTTTTTCGCTCATATTTAATATATATATATATATATATATATATATATATATATATATATATATATATATATATATATATATATATATATATATATATATATATATATATATATATATATGAGCGAAAATTCCTCAAATTCCTCAAGCAACAGGGTTTCTTAATGGAGCCCTGTTGCTTATGCAAAAGGGTTTAAGGAACATATAATCTCTTCGCACAACCAAACCATCGCCAGAGAAATCCTAGTAAACAACACAGAAATCATCGATAGATACAGCGATAGCAGGCGGCTTGACGTTTGCGAGGCACTACACATCAAGAAGTCAACACCAGCAATCAACAGCCAATTAATGCACAACTATATTCTACCCACCTCAAGACTCCGCTCCAATATAGAAGCATCAAGAAATATGGACCAATAGGCTTTCTACATACACTTCTATTCAATACCCATTGTTTCGTGTTCTGTCTTGTGTTGATGAAATTAATACCCTATTAATGCCACCTCTTGTTCTGTCTTGTGTTGATGAAATTAATACCCTATTAATGCCACCTCACCCCATCCACCTCACTAAAATGTAGATATAATATCGGAGATGCGTAAGTTCTATTCAGTTGTGTATTTGTAAACTAAAGTCTTTGAAAATGTAATAAGTTTTACGAAACGCGCTCGTGTCGCGTCAGACTAGAAATAAAAATTAATTTTGGAGAATTGATTTTTGATTTACCTCCAACAGTGAAAAGAAATGTACGAAAGATTGAGAAAATTCGTGTTAGAATTATTAATCTTACTTTTTCGGTCATATTTAATAATATATATATATATATATATATATATATATATATATATATATATATATATATATAAGGCACAACTCTCCTAAACACGAGAGTCAAGTATACTCTCTCCCATATTAACAGGGACTTGATGAAATTAACGTCTAAATGACCCCTCACTTGCTCTAGTGCTCTTGGGAGGTGGTGATCTTTGTGGTATTTAAATACTCCGAAATTACCATCTCTTTTAAGGGTCTGAGCAGGTGGTGGAGAGGGTTAAGGCGTACCTGTTATGCCAGTTGCTGGAAGGCTTCTGTGCTGGCTAGGGTTCGAGTCTCCTGGTGGGAAAGTGTTCTAAAGTTCTATACTTCACTCTCGTGTTTAGGAGAGTTGTGCCTTAAGCATAGACACTGTGTCTTCCCATATTAACAGGGACTTGATGAAATAAACGTCTAAATGACCCCTCACTTGCTCTAGTGCTCTTGGGAGGTGGTGATCTTTGTGGTATTTAAATACTCCGAAATTACCATCTCTTTTAAGGGTCTGAGCAGGTGGTGGAGAGGGTTAAGGCGTACCTGTTATGCCAGTTGCTGGAAGGCTTCTGTGCTGGCTAGGGTTCGAGTCTCCTGGTGGGAAAGTGTTCTAAAGTTGTATATATATATATATATATATATATATATATATATATATATATATATATATATATATATATATATATATATATATATATATATATAGATATATATATATATATATATTAGTATATTTTGGTAGCAGTCTTTCCTGTAGACATATATTATTAAATATGACCGAAAAAGTAAGATTAATAATTCTAACACGAATTTTCTCAATCTTTCGTACATTACGCTTCACTGTTGGAGGTAAATCAAAAATCACTTCTCCAAAATTCATTTTTATTTCTAGTCTGACGCGACACGGGCGCGTTTCGTAAAACTTATTACATTTTCAAAGACTTCACAAATACACAACTGATTAGAACTAACGTATCTCTGCTATTATATCTACATTTGAGTGAGGTGGGAGGGATGATGTGGCATATAATGATGTGGCATTAGGGGATATTAATAGGGTATTAAAAGTATCAACACAAGACAGAACAGAAACAATGGGTATTGAATAGAAGTGTTTGTAGAAAGCCTATTAGTCCATATTTCTTGATGCTTCTATATTGGAGCGGAGTCTTGAGGTGGGTAGAATATAGTTGTGCAATAATTGGCTGTTGATTGCTGGTGTTGACTTCTTGATGTGCACTACACATCCCTATTAATACCCTATTAATATCCCCTAATGCCACATCATTATATGCCACATCATCCCTCCCACCTCACTCAAATGTAGATATAATAGCAGAGATACGTTAGTTCTAATCAGTTGTGTATTTGTGAAGTCTTTGAAAATGTAATAAGTTTTACGAAACGCGCCCGTGTCGCGTCAGACTAGAAATAAAAATGAATTTTGGAGAAGTGATTTTTGATTTACCTCCAACAGTGAAGCGTAATGTACGAAAGATTGAGAAAATTCGTGTTAGAATTATTAATCTTACTTTTTCGGTCATATTTAATAATATATATATATATATATATATATATATATATATATATATATATATATATATATATATATATATATATACACCTATATATATATTTATATATATATATATATATATATATATATATCTATATATATATATATTATATATATATATATATATATATATATATATATATATATATATATATATATATATATATATATACACCTATATATATATTTATATATATATATATATATATATATATACACCTATATATATATATATATATATATATATATATATCTATATATATATATATTATATATATATATATATATATATATATATATATATATATATATATATATATATATATATATATATATATATATATATATATATATATATAAAATTTGTGAGTGTACCACCTCTGGTGCCAAAGTGGGGACCCATAGCCTCGGAGAAGAAAATAAAAAGTATTCAGAGGAGACCTTATGGTTTCTCACTGAACACTAATATTATCTTCTCCTACCACCCCCATTCTTTTATATGTACACATATATATTTGCTTTATTTGAACTTTGTTACAAAAAAGAAGTTACATATAGGTTACAAAGATGGTTATCATAGGTTGTCCTGTTCCTCCAGTTCCTCAGATGGCGGGCAGGAACCCTGGATGCAGTGCGCATTTCCCCTCAGTATCGCCACGCAGAGGCCCTGGAAAAGAAAGCTGGCAGCTCTAGGGTCCCTTGTTGTTTCAATGAGCCTAGAACCCAGTTCCTTCAAAAAACTGGTAGCACTTTTACCCCAGGCGCCGAGTGTCTCAGAAGCAATGGGGACAAAATTGTAGTGGTGATCCAGTTCTCTATACTTACGGGATTTGGCTGCTTCCCTGTGGGTGGCAGCGCCACCTGGTTGTGCAACACTGAGGTTAATGTAGGTGTTAGCCAGGGTTGATACGCACATGTAGTCCCATACCAACTGCTTGCCATTCGTCCAGGGGTTCACTGTGATACTATCCGGGCGACCAATAAAAACATCAGAGTTACGGGGCGTTAGGTAACGGGGCTCTCTTTCAGCTGGGCATCCAGCTGTGGTGAGGCTCCTCTTGATGATGTCGTTAACTTCACTGTGCCTCGAGTGCCATCCCCCTGTGCTTTGGCAGAGTAGGCCATGGTGGCCGTACCTGTCAACCACCACCTCGCCGCAAATACACCTATATCTGGTGTGGATTGGGGCAGCATGGCGAAGGGCCACAGCAATTCGGAGGGCGTGTGGTGTGAGACGCGTGCCAGTTGCTGACATTGGGGTTGCTAACAGGAAATCGCCTGCATGTGGGACTGCTACTGCTGTGAGGCGAGCAATGTCGTGTTGTGTTGTTGCAGCACCCAGGCACTCTGCAGCAACTTGGTCTACAATGGGGCCATCCCAACTGGATTGCTTGTGGGCTTTTGGGGATGGTGGTTGAGGTGATGGGCCTGCACGAGAGGCCCACTCTGTGGCACAGGGTGTAAAATTGGGATCATGTACACCTGCCAGCTGATGTAAGTGGGCAGGTAGAATTTCCTTCACAAGGTCGTCGGATGCTGATAAGGAGGACAGGAAGGCTGGAACAGCGATTTGCGTTGCTGTTCGAACTCCGAGGCCCCCAAGTCTTACGGGAAGAGAGGCTTGTTTCCACTGTAGGTCATCAAGAGAGAGGTTAAGGGCTTTTTCTAGCATTGATTTCAGTAACCGGTCATACTCACTTAGTTTTTGGCTACTGTAAGATGGTGAACACCTCAGAAAGTAGGTTAACCTGGGGAGGGACGGACATCTGGTGATGAGGTAGAGTGCATCATGAGCATCAATATCCTCAATCCTCCCATCCATCCTCTTAAGGTCGGCGATTTTCTTATCAAGGACCTCATCGATGGCTTTCAA